ATGCCTTGCCGACCATTGGTGTCAAAAATCAGTTTTTATGCAGATATTTTCCCTCCAGCTGTTCCACATTGCTCCAGCTATTTCTGAATTCGTATTTTGGACCTGAAGTCATATATTTCTATATATAGAGGCCCTTCTCTATTGTTTTCAAGGTTGGAAAGATTTTGAGAGCCTCTCTCTCTAGATTTCTTTCTCTATTGAACCTTTGTGCATACAAGTAGAGATACACTTCTAGTTTGCCTATCAACCCTTAATCAAACTTGGCCACCTTTGGGCTGAGGTCTCTTGGAGTCTTGTTTGAGCTCTAGAAGGAGGTTTGAGCTTGGATTTGTGCCTAAGTTGTGCTTTGCTTCAAAGGTATAACACTTACTTTCTTTAAACTTGTTTTGCATACTTATTTTCCTATCTTCTTCTACTATTTTTGGCCTAGTTTTCGAATGTAAAAACCTCTATTTTTATGACCTAAACATGATGGTTTGAGGCTATTTTGAGTTGAGGGCTTGTCCACCCTTTTTGCTTCTTAGCTTGTTAAGCTTTTGTGCTATTATTCACCACTTTCAAAATAATTTTTTTGGGCCTCTTAACCACTAAATCTGAGAGGTTTTTCAGTGGTAAAAACCTTGTTTTGAAGTCCAAAATTGGAGGGATTAGCCTCCCCTCCTTGTGTCTTGTTTGCATGCGTAGTTAGCTTCATGTGTTAGCATGTTTTTCTAGCCTAACTTAGCTTTATTCCAGCATGTTTTTTGCCTCTGAAATGACCTATTTTGGCTCTATTTTGGGCTGGTTAATTCAGTTGAGGCTTATATTGCATAGTTGTAGGGTTAATTCCTTCGCTAGCTTGATGTTTTAATGCTTTGATCATCATTGTTTTGAGTTAATCGCATGTTTTAGTGTTGTTTTGCACTCCATTTCAGCATTTTAACCTCTGCAACCTCCCTTCATTCTTTACACTTTTGTTTGCTTTGAAAGTGGTCCTAAACCACTTGTTTGCCTAAGTGTGGAATTGAGATGATGCACCTAATGGTTTAATCCCTTAGGGGGTTCATTACCAATAGTGTAATGCCTCTTTCATGCCCAAAGCACCTTGTGGTTTGAGTCGTCTTCCATTAGAGGACATTCACTTTTGGACTTAATCATTTAAAGAATGGATTGGTAATTAAAATAAGTAAACAAAATGGACAAGTAAAAGAGGCAAGATAAGTGTTCTTTGTGTTGCATTACATGTGTTCAAATCGGACGTTAATTTGAACACAAGGCAAATAGGACATTTCATACTCAATAGTGGTGGAACGTGCCATTTTCCTAGGTCTCCATTGCCCTTGATCATGCATGATAGGGTGTTGGACATTTTTAGTCTTATTTGTGCATTTATCGAAATTGTATAACTTGGATCTTTGGCCATCATGCAATGAACTTGCTTGATTGGTGGTTTTGGAGCCAAATGTGCTACTTCTTTGAGGTTTTGAGATGATAAAAAGGGGTGCAGTACAAACAAACCCTTGGAAAAACCTTCATTTTGCTCTGTTTGTGCTTTGTTGCAGTATGGTGACTTAGAGCATCAGTGGCCGGCAGTGCCTTATTTCTGGTCGGCAGGGGGCTGGTAGCAACGTCCCATGGCCGGCAAGCTACTGGTGTGATCCTCAGCAGAGATTTGGTAAGTTGGAGCAAAAGGTTCCTGGAGCATGCTCAACCTTGCAAATAGAGGCTTCCGAGAGCAAAACTGTGGTCTTTTCGAGTGAGAACCGAGCCTATGCATTTTCCACTTCCCAAGGTGTAGTAGTGGTAGCATAGTTTAATGTCTTGCATGCTTAGTTAGTGTACATTTTCTTTGTAGTTTAGTTAATTAGTTCACTAGTCGATTAAAGTGATGTAATAATTAGTAATTAGTTTGCTAGTTATTCGATTGATTTGTAATAATTAGTTTAATTAGATTAATTAGATTAGTTTAGTTAGCTTAGCTTAGATTAGCTTCATTCGGACCCTCCTTTGCCAGGGCATAGTGTTGTAATAAGTGTGCGTGTGTGTGTGCATGTCTTCCAACCCGCGTCTTTTTCCCTTTTATTTAATCACTTTTGATGGTTAGATTAGGAACATATTTCAATGAGCATATCACATGCTTGCATCCATTCATTTGTCTTGTATGCACCAAGGCTCGGCGCATCATTCAAACTGCATTGTCATTTCAATATCTTCTTTGAATACGTGTTCTATTGTATGTTGTTCAAATTGATTTGTATGTCATATTAATAGCCGAGCCTATTAATTGTATTATTGCATGTGTTGCATTAGGCATACTGTATAGTTAGGATCATATATTTTTCTAACTAGTTTTTATTTTGGCTTGGAGTACTCGGTAAGTTTTTACACTTTAGCATACTTACATGAGTGTGATTTCCATGTTGCCATGTTTCATATGCTTGCCATGAGGCTATGTACTTAAATGCTAAACTGCATAGATGCCTGTGGATGAAGGCTTGGTTGCTTGAATTGAAACGATTCAACGAATGTGCGTTTTTAGCCCACTTTGTTGTGGCAAATCTTGTTTTAAGCCCACTTTGTTTGGTGGAAAATCCGCATTTTTAAGCCCACTTAAGGGTGGCAAATTCAAACCATTTTCGAAAATAAACATGAGTTGAGTTGTTTCAATTCTTGCGATTTTAATCTATATTTGTATGCGTGCACATCACATAGTAAGGTTAGATTAATAATCGAAATAACAACACATAATGTTTACAAAACATCATATCATGATTAGTAGAGGCCGATCTTTGATCAGGCAAGCGGGGGTGCTCATTTCAAGACCTTCCCCTCTTATACCTAAGTTCCCGAGTCGAGATAAGTTTGGCGATGACGGACACATGGCCTTTGGCACGAGTCAGGGTTTCTGAAATTTCTCCAAAAATAAAATATTTAGGTGGCGACTGTAATCTGGCAAAGTAGTCCAATTTTGGCATTATTTGATTTAAAATAGATTTTCTAAAAGGTTTGCTGGATTCGGACTCTTTGGTGATTATCAATTTCACATTGCACTTGTGAGACTAGATTCAGAACTGCGGAAGTCCGAACTGTGAGACCTTCTTTTCAACCCCTTTCCAAAAGGCGGGGTGAGGAAAAAGGCGAGTCCACAATGGCATGCATACTGAGGAAAGTGATGCGCACGTATGTGAATTGTGTGTGTTCGCATAAGTTGTGCGTGCTCATATCCAAGCGTGGTAGTGCCGATTTTGGAAACTCAATCTTGGCATATTTTTTGAGGGAGGTAGTGAGGGGAAGCGATGAGAAGCCCTAGAGTGCTCCAGAAGCTTCCTCTCTGCCTATAAAAAGGACCCCTCAGCCTTCCTTTGAAAGGGTTAGCAACTTGAGAACTTTTGGTGAGTTTGAGAGCAAAAACACCCACCCTCTTCCCTTCTCTTGCCTTAGCTCCGAAATTTACCCACTCACAGCATCATGTAGTTTCTTAGTTTTATTCGTTTTTTCTCTTATGGTTGCTTGTTTTCTTTATTTCTTATTAAACATTTTTTAGGATTTATTTAATAATATAATAAGTATGCATAAACCTGGCTTGATCATCATGTAGTTTTAGGATATTTTTTGCTTTTTTATGCATAAGCATCATTTTAGTACTCTCAAACTGGACTTAGGATCATTATTTGTATGATTAGTTGCATATTAGTCCATATTTAACTTAATTCTTGCATGAAAGGTGCTTGGGTGGGCATCTAGGTAAGTTTCTCTCATTTTCATAGCATTATGCTTGTTTTGTGCACTGTTTTTCAAATAATCCAAGTTAAATGCGTTCCTTGCAAAATTGATTGTTTTGAATGATTTTCATGAATTATTTATCTTGGGTTGAGTCTATGGCCATGAATCATCAAAAATCCTCTTTATGTGGAAAATCATAATTTTTTAGAAAGATATGGTTATATTGTTTAAATCCAAAATGAATGACATTTATTTTATTCAATTATCTAGTTTTAGGGTAGTAATGGTTTAGACTTAAAATGATTTGTATGAATAATTAAGTACTAAAATCATAAAATAGAGAATTAGTAAAGGTTAATTTTTGGATTGGGCGAAAGAGGGTGCTTTCGTTCAATGTCTTTTCCCTTTTGTACTTTAGCTCCCAAATCTGAAATTCTTTGGTTATGACGGATCAAGCCGTTAGCTTAATTTTCATTATTAAAGGTATTTTAATTCGCCATAAAAATTAAGTGGCTACTCTATGTTGGTTAAAGCAAGTTGGTACAACATTTGGGTGGAAACGTGCCTAATACCCAAAAAGGGCATGACGTCCACAGTAACCACTAAACCAGGTTTAGGTTTGCATATAGTGTATGTTTAGTAGCATATCTAGGATTTTTATATTTTATTTAATCATATTTTGCATGGTTGGACACTTTGTGGTAGAATCCGGGTAAGTTTCTTGATCTTCATAGCATATTGCTTGTGTATTTGCATTGTTGCTTTAAATAATGCAAGTTAAGTTTTTTTGTGCTCAATTGGTTGTTTTGGGTACTTTTTCATGAATATTGCTTTATTTGGGTTGTGTTTATAGCCATATGATTTAAAAGTTTTCTTTTTGTTGAAAAATCATGACTTTATGGAAAAGATATGGTTTTATTCGTTTAATCCAAATTAAGTGATATTTAGTAAAGGAATTAGGGTTAATAATGAATCTTGTGGAATAATTATTTATTTAATCTCATAAAATAAAAGGTTAGTAGAGGCCAATCGCTTAATTGGGCGAGAGGGGGTGCATCAATTAATGACGTTCCCCTCTTGTACCTAAGTTTTCGAATTGAAAATATTTAGTTGTGATGGATTAGTCTCTGTATTTAGTTTTCATTATTAAAGGTTTCTTAGTTTTCCTTAAAAACTACGTAGCAACTTTCGAATGCAAGTTGGTGCAACATAGTGTGGAAACGCGCCTTAAATCCAAAAAGGCACGGCGTCCACACACATAGGCAATAAGATTGTATTTATGAGAGTGAAATGAAAAAAGAAGCCAAAGTTAGAATAAAATGATTACAAAGGTAGATATTTGTAAATAGACATTTAGAAAATAATGTCCACACTAGTAAAATATGAGTTGAGTTTTTAGAATATGAAATCTAATCAAATCCTAATAAAAGTTTCAATTTACATTAACTTTTGACTTTGGAGTCCAAAAAAGAAAAAATAATAGTTTAACTTAAACAACGCCAAATGAGGTGGTGGATGTTTTGAGTCTTGACCTTGCTTATCACCAGTTCTTGTGCTTGAAGCTTTTGCTTTACGTTGTACTATGAAGGTGTTTACCCTTGTTGGGAAATCAATGAAAACTGAATTTGGTGTTTTCCTTTGCACATAACATATGTATTATAGAGCTGCTTCATATGGTTTTTCACATGAAAAGGTAGGCACTTGATAAACTTCTTTGTGACACCATATCTACCAGGAAGCTAGATAGATACTCTATCCCTAGCCTTGCTTGCCTAAGAATAATAAAGGCAATGATTCACAGTGATGTCCATGTAAGTTGTAACTATTCGTAATGACAAAGATGTTGGGAATGTTTTAACTTACTTGATGCTGCCAATCTATGTGAATGGTTATAACTAAAAGCAGTAATGCTTGCAGTCCACTCCCACTTATGATTCCCATCCATAAGCCCTGCAAAATTAAAGAGTTGGCATCAATCATAATAGAACCAACGATGAATCTAAGGGGTCAGTTGGGGGTAGCGGATAACCACCCCAAAGATTCAAAAATAGCAATGCTAGGTATCATGAAAAATCTTTCATGAAAATAATCATGAAAACTTTGTAACCCTTGGATTACACTTAGAATAAAGCACCACACATTAATCAAGGTAATCCAAGGATCATAAATCTTTCATGAAATTTTTTTTCATGATCCCTAACTTTTCTCATTCAAAAAACCCCTTATTATGGTAGTATTAGTTAAAAATATTTTTTTAAATTATATAGTCTTTCTGTTTTTTGGAGGAGGGGAGGGAGGGAATTTAATACCCTTAGATTTATTTATTATTTTTTAAAATTATTAGTGGCATTGTAGGCCTTAGTGTCTTTGTTTGCTTGAGCTAGGATTTTACATTTGTTCCTGAATAAAATGACAATAGCAATCATTGCCATCTTGTTCCCAACTCAATCAACCACATGATGTGTGATGAAAATCCCAAAATACAAAAATTTTGAGGCACGGTTGTGTGACTAAGAGTGCATTAAGATGGAATGGATTTCAAGATAAAGAATCATGTGCCAAGGACAACAATAACGTCATGTTTGTTTGGGCGGACTGGATTACCATTCCCATGACTAATAGTCCTAGGACTATAAATTTGTTGGATTATGTATCCTATCTTAACTAATAGTCAAGTTTAAAATAATTAATTATTACTTCAATTGTTTAACCAAACATCGGATTAATAATTTTATTGGACTATTAGTCCAATCCCAAGTTCATGTCTACCCAAACAAACATGACCTAAATGCTTTCCCAAAGGTGGATTTCTTACCTTCCCTCCAAAGTGTAGGACAAAAGTTAAGATGATGGCAGAAGGAAGGCCAACTAAGTAATAAGCTCCTAGATTCACAAATGCCCCAATCTTCTGCCAACCACATCCTCTTGCAGTACCTTTTGTAACAAAAGGGCTTCCATGATGGTCATATGACTCAAAAAGGAACAAGAATTGAAGACAAAAATCAAGAAGCCTATTATATAACCAACATCCATAGTGATCATTGAGGTCTAATTTTTTAGAGAGATCTCTAACCTGAGAGTGCAGCCTGAATTCCATCCATGAAGTTGGAAATCACAAGCACTGGTATTACTGAAGCCATGTATTTCACAACTTCATCTTCATTGGTATATAAATAGCCCCATATGTTGCGTACTGAAACCAAAATTAAGCTTGTGAACAGGCCTTGTGCAGTAGCCAAGAATATGGCAACCTGTACCGCAAGTTGTGCAACACGTGGTTGCCCTGCACCTAATTCATTTGAAACTCTCGTGCTTTGAACCAAGACACATGAGGGATTCAATCAAGCTATGTACATTAAGAAGTTAATATGATTGCAAATACATGTGTCTTTCATCAAACATACCTTACTGCGCTGCCAATTCCATAAGGGATTCTAAATACCAATGAACTTGTGTCAAAGCTAGGGAAAAATGATTGAAGTTTAGAGATGGAGGGGTTACAACAAATGGCATTAAAATCAAATATATGCATATGGGAAGAACAAACTAAAATTTCATGTCATTTGTTTCTTTCAATTGTAATTTGTTTTTTGATAGGAAATTATGCCGTCAATACATATCTACATTTCTACTATATACTATATACTATATATAAAAAGAGAAGTAATGGGACACATATCTACATTTCTTACCCCTACAAAACAGGAAAGAAAAAAGAGAAAGCAAAAATACATGCTTCTTGTAATGCATGAGATGAATAGTTACAAAGGAGTGTTGAATGTTATTGTAGAGAAAAAAAGAAAAAGAAAAAGTTCATATGGAAGTAATGGCAAAAGTATACATATATACTATACATAAAAAGAGAAGTAATGGGACACATATCTACATTTCTTACCCCTACAAAACAGGAAAGACAAAAGAGAAAGCAAAAATACATGCTTCTTGTAATGCATGAGATGAATAGTTACAAAGGAGTGTCGAATGTTATTGTAGAGAAAAAAAGAAAAAGAAAAAGTTCATATGGAAGTAATGGCAAAAGTATACATATATACTATATATAAAAAGAGAAGTAATGGGACACATATCTACATTTCTTACCCCTACAAAACAGGAAAGACAGAAGAGAAAGCAAAAATACATGCTTCTTGTAATGCATGAGATGAATAGTTACAAAGGAGTGTTGAATGTTATTGTAGAGAAAAAAAGAAAAAAAGAAGTTCATATGGAAGTAATGAAAAATGCATTTTGAAAATATGATAGCCTACTGAAAATTTGGAAATAAACTTTGTTGAAAATTGAGTATCCATGAAACAAAAGTTACACGCAAGTTCTAAAATCTAGATTTATCCAGTTTAGCTTTGTTTAAGTACTACTTATAGTTCTCGATTCTGTGTATAGGATGAGAATTTTGTCTATGTTCCATTTGAATCTTGGATTTAAATGCACTGAGATATTATATTTCAAATGTATCAAGACTAACCTGATTGCCATCATTGATGTTTCAAGCTTGGGATTAGGTAGAAGACCAGACATAAGAATCAGAAACTCATACGACCAATATTCCAAGCTGATCAGTCACAAGATATTACAAGGACAAAATTTGAGTAATTGGTAAACTTATAAATTAGAAATTGTGACACTCCACACTACTTGTTTGGAGGAAGAGTCACACTCACCAAACCATAAAAGCTGAGGGAATAGCCAGTGAAACATAGCTGGCAAGATCTTTCATACCCTCTTTGCAAAATCCAGTCCAAGTGTTTTGACAAGTACACGAAAAGTGGATATAAATTGCCAAAAACAACACATTGATCCAATAAGAGATGGCAATGGACAGGGCAGAACCTTTGTTGCCAAGGCCAATTCTGAATATCAAACTCCATGAGATAAGGACATGAAGCAAAGTTGTCATGATTGTGCTTATGATCAACGGCTTTACATTATTTTGAGTCTGTAAGAATCGAAGTTGACACTGAAGGAGGGCGTAAGGAAAAATACTAGGGATCAACCAACGTGCGTATATCCCGGCTTGTGTAGAAATTTCAGAGTCTTGTCCACAAAGTGTGAAAATATACCCAGTAAAGTTCCAAATGAATGCTATGGGAATGCCTGTTAGCATAAGTACAAGCATAGCTCTCTGCAAGTGCATACCAAGCATGTGATATTGTTTTGCTCCATAGGCTTGTCCAAAAAACGTTTCTAGTGCACTTGCCATTCCTAGCTAATCAAAACAAAAGATTAATGATGTGTTAAAATATACTTAATTACTCAAAAAGGAGGCATTAAGATCTTCTATGAAGTCAATAATACCACACATGCATATGCAGACTCGAGCCAAGGCGCGCCAACAAAGTGGTCATTTTAGGCCCCTTGCTAATTTTGGAAGGCTCTATGTTTTATTTTTTAAATTATTTGGTGTAACTTATATGAGTTGTTTATAATTTTTTTGTATTTTATTTTGGCAATAATGTTTGATCCACATAAAATGTATTGTCCGACTTTGCCTGAATCACATGGCATACATTGAACCGAAATCACACCCATGATATTCTCTTTTCCCTCTCTGTCCTTTTCACTTGTCTCTCTAAAAATGACAACATAACTCCTCTGAACTTCTCTCTCAACACACCCGAATCTCACCTTCCAAGAACGGAGGTATAGAGGGGCCGGGAGAGCACGTGTCCCCCTAGGTTTTGGATTTTATTTATTTGCAAACACAAAGAAAATATTTTAAATAAAAAAATTACAAAAATATTATTTAGAGTGAAATGTCAAGGACATTTTTAAAATTATGAAAACAATAAAGGTTTTTTTGGTTGAAAATGAAGAGATAACGATAAGCTATATTATCTATGAAATTTTCATGAAAAAATTTCAATATAACATTGATATCTATCATTATTGACATGTAAGTATACTTAATCTCACTATGAAGATATAAAATTTATTGGATTGTTAGTTACATTTGACATATGGGGTTTACCATCCATGCGTTTCTTTAATATTGATTGGTGATATTACATGTCAATGATAACGTGGTATTACCATTATATTAAATTTTTACTCAAATTTTGTATAAAAAAAATTTACTTTATCATTATATAATTTATTTTAAGACTTATATTCATGACTTTGTTTGTATTGGTCATGACACACTAGTTACAAATAATATTATTTTTTTGATCTTTTTCGAAGTCAATCATAAAAATTTATGTGAAATATTTTTGTAAAATTTTTTGATATTGTAATTGTTATGAGAATGGAGAGAGAGTGAAAGAGAGAGAAAATATAATTTTGTATATTTCAATGAATTATAAGAGTGAATACAAGGATCCTTTATATAGGAGAATGAGTAATATGAGTGCATACAAGGCTCATTTAATAGGAGACGGAGAAGCTAAGTATAGAAACTTTATCTATGGTAATACACAATATGGTAATGCACAATATGGTAATATACATATATACAGCTAACACCACTCTCTCAAGCTCAAGGTGGTAATGTAGATATTAACTTAAGCTTGGAAAGTAAGTCAGAAAAGCATCCTAGAGGATGAGCCTTAGTGAAGATGTCGGTTGTCTGATTGGCAGAGGTAACAACGATAAGACGAACAATGCCACTAATAACATGTTGCCTTATGAAGTGACAATTAATCTCACTATGTTTGGTGCGATCATGGAAAATATCATTATATGCAATCTGAATAGCACTCTAATTGTCATAATAGAGGTTAGTGGCTGTAGGATGAGAAACCCCCGTATTAGAAAGAAACCAATGAAGCCACACAAGCTCTTGAGTAGTGTCAGCAAGAGCATGATACTCAGCTTCAGTACTAGAACGAGTAATAAGAGTTTGCTTCTTACTATGCCAGACAATGAGAGAGTCACCCAAGAGGAAGTAGAACCCTGTAGTAGAATGACATTCAGTAGTATCCCCTGCCTAATCTGTATCGGAAAAGGCTTGTAACTATAGAGAAAAGTATGCTGAGTAGTGAAGACCATAAAACATAGTTCCTTTAAAATAGTGCAAAATGTGAACTAGAGCATCATAGTGCGGAGAGTGATAAGGAGCTATGAACTGACTGACAATGTAAACAACACAGGTAATGTCTAGATGAGTAACCGTGAGATAGATAAGACTACCAATTAGCTAACAATATAAAGTAGCATTAGACAACAGGTGACCGTCAAGAGGTATGAGACAAGTTTGATGATCAACTGGGATAGGAGCAATCTTGCAATCGGTAAGACCAGCACAAGCCAAGATATCAGAGGTATACTTGGCCTAGGTGAGAAAGTAACTAGAAGGATCTTGAGAAGTTTCCTAGCCGAGGAAGTAGCTAAGTAAACCCAAATCTTTCATCTCAAACTGGTGACTGAGGAACTGATTAAGACTAGAGATACCTACTGTGTTATCCCTAGTGATGATCATATCATCTACATAGAGAAGAAGAAGAATAATACCATACTCTGTCTTACGCATAAACAGAGCAGAATCATAGGCACTGGAGGAGAATCCAAAGTTACGAATAGTAGAACTGAACTTGGCAAACTAGGTATGAGAAGCTTGTTTCAAACCATACAAAGCATATCAAAGTTTGCAGATTTTGGTGGATGGAACTGAGGAACTAGGAGGAAGATATATATAAACTTCCTCAGTGAGATCACCATTGAGAAAACCGTTCTTGACATCTATCTGACAAAGTCTCCAATAACAAGTACTAACAATGGAAAGTAGGTTGTGAACTGAAGTAAGATGGGCAACATGAGCAAATGTTTCCTCATAATGAATCTCGTATTCTTGAATAAGCCCCTAGGTAACAAGATGAACTTTGTAACGCTTAATGGAACTATCAGAATGGGTTTTGATGTTGTAAACCCATTTGCAACTAATAGCACTCTTTCTAGGATGGAAGGTCAACTTTATCCCAGGTATAAGTTTCATCTAAAGCCTGTAGTTCATCAGTCATAGCTTGATGCCAAAGAGGGTTAGAGCAAACCTCTCAATAGGAAATAGGTTCACGAGAAGAAAAAGCAGCGAAACCAATAATGAAATCATGAAGAAGGATGCAAGGTTTTGTTACCCGAGTAGAATAACAAAGGGGTACTTCTGGTGTAGAAAATGATGTAGTGGAATTATGGGATGCATGAGGCTTACTGTGAGAAGGAATGAAGATAGGACTATGAGGTGGTGTAGGAGCTGGAGCAAGAACAGGAACAAGAACATGAACATAAGTAAGAACAGGCTCAGGATCAGGGAGTGAAGGAACAAGAACAGAAACAAGAGCAGGCTTAGGATTAGAGAGTGGAGCAGCAGGACTAGGAGGCGGAGTAGAATCCTCAAGATGGGCCAGAGTCATCATGTCAGAAGTAGTGTCTGTAACAAGCTTATCAAACAAAAGAGAAGGATCTATAAAAAATAGTATAGTGGGAGAACTGGACTTTTAGATATAGAGGAGAACATCTTGTGTTCCCAAAATACCACATGGCAAGAGACATGAAGACAACGAAAAGAGGATTCCAACAACGATAACCTTTATGTTCAATCCCATACCCCAATAAACAACACAAATAGGTGCGGGGTTCTAATTTGGTATGCTCATGTGGTTTAAGAAGAACAAAACAAGCATATTGAAACATACGAAGACCAGTATAGATAGGAGGTGTGCCATACAGACGTTCATATGGGGTTTGATTGTTGATGGTAAAGGAAAGGACATAGTTGATAGTATAGATGGCTGTGAGAGTAGCTTTTCCCTAAACACATTCATGACAAGAAAAAGAGATTAAAAGAGCACAGACAATGCCTAAGATATGGCAATGTTTGGACTCACCATAACTATTTTATTTGGAGGTACTAGGACAAGAATAGTGAAAAAGTGTACCATTTTGACGAAGGAATCTCAAAAAATAAGTTTCTTTGTATTCATGAGCATTATCAGCACAATAAACTTTGATGGTGGAAGAAAATTGAGTTTTGACCATTTGTGAAAAATCATAGTATATTTGGTGTAACTCAGAGCGAGTTCATAAGAAATAACTAGGTAAAACGAGTGAAATCATCGACAAATACGACAGTATTTAGATCCATCCATAGTGGTATTAGGTGAAAGCCCCCAAACATCAGAGTGTATGAGATCAAAATGTGAGACCCCTAACTTTTGTAAACCCTATTAAGTCCCTTACTTTTAAATTATTTCTTTGAAATCGTTCAATTTCTTAATTAATTGCAATCCTTACTTTTAAATTATTTCTTTGAAATCGTTCAATTTCTTAATTAATTGCAATTTAACCCTGGGATCAAAATACATGCACCAACTGAAAATTCGTAAACCCTAAACGATTTTGATAACTTAGAAATCATTTCTAATACCCTAATACTGATTAATTGACTCCATAACGTAGAATTACCACTTGAAAACCCTAGGATTTTTCGGTTTTTATCACGCTCGTCGGTTGATAGCCTTTTTATTTGAAACAAGAAATTCAAACCGAATTAGATTCTCTAACCCTAACTTAGTTAAATTCTACCCTAAAAAAAAATGTTCCAATTCATAAATTAAGGCCTTAGCCCTCATATTTTACTTAAATCACAAATTGACCCCAAGTTAGTACCATTGTATATATATATATATATTCGTACCTCTTATTCATCAATTCTTTTTGTACACAATATCTATGAAATTTGTACACAAAATAAATAAGAAAATCCCCCAAATCTTGAGCACATGGCCAGCCATTATACCTCCTAAGCTATAATCATTGTACTTTAGAGACAAATCCATTGAATCATGGAAATAATTATGTCTTTGGTACCAATTCTATATATATACATGTGTATATTTAATGTACTTGTAACTAGAATGGATTAAATTAGACTTAAGCCTAACTAGATCATAATTAAATACATAATTAAGGTCCTAATTATCCACTATTCCATTTCATTTGAACTAAATACAATTCAATTCCATTAACCAAAGGACATTTTAGACAATTTACACCATTTTTCCTATAAATACACCACCATCCTCCATCTATATGAACATCAAACACCACACCCACACACCCACACGGCATAGAGAGAGGGCGAGGAGTGGAGAGTGAGCTTGTGGGAGGGAGAAGAAGAGAGAGAGCAAGTCTTGCAAAATTAGTTCTATAAGCATTTAAGTAAGGCATAACACAACTCTCTGTCATTTTCCTTTTTCAAATACATGTTATTAA